CGTCGGTCGGTCGGTGGTCGTCGTCGTGGTCGTGGGTGAACCCCCGACGTCGGCAAACGGCCGTCGCAGCTGCCGCGACTCGTCGTTTTGCCCCCCTCCACGACGACGCCGGCTTTGAAGTTGTTTCGCTTCTTCTTGGGTCTCCTGGGTCGTCGTGGTCGTCGTCGCGATCGTCGTCGTGGTCGCGGTCGCCGTCGCGATCGTCGTCGTGATCGACCTCGTGGTCGTGGCCGTGGCCGTGGCCGTGATCATCGACGTGGTCGTGGTCGTGGTTGTGGCCGTGGCCGTGGTCGTGGTCGTGGTCAAGGTCAAGGTCGTGGTCGTCGTGGTCGTCGTCGTCGTCGTCGTCGTCGTCGTCGTCGTCGTCGCCCCAGGGGCCTCCGCCGGACGACGCCTGCGGTCGGCGCGCCGAGGAGGGGGGGTCCTTTGAGGGCTGTCGACGGCTGGCCTGCCGCATTCCGCCGGTGTTTCGGCCCCGCCGCCCTGTGCGTTGTGCCGCTTTGGCAGGTTCGCGTCGTGTCGACGCGGTGGCGACCCCGCCGCGGGCGTTGCAGTTTGAGCGCCGCCAGTGGCCCAGAATCGTCCAACATGGAACGGTGTGGCGATCGAGGAGCCGCGGATCGCTCCAGGTGGAACGAGCCGCGCGGCGCCGGACGCCAGGGCCAGCCCACGGCACGAACCTGCCGTGGGCTGGCGACTCTGGCGCCGGGGGGTGCGCTGGGAACCTCGGCTGCGTGAGCCGGCTCGCTGCCCCCCCCCCTCCGTCCTTTGCTGTCCCCCTGGTGGTCCGACCCGAGATCAGGAGGGGAAAAAACACGCAGACACAATTGATCGTCGATCCCTAAGAAAATATGGGAAAGTATGGGAATTGGGCGGGAAGACAAAAACCCAGAAAATATGGGAACATATGGGAGATATTGTTATTTGTGTGTATTTATTTGTGTGTCCCAGTTCCCCTTCATGGTGGTCTGACCCGAGAGGAGGTTCTCGGGGTCGGCTCCGGAGGGCCGGCGGTCGGACCGCGCGTCGCCAGGGGCGGTCGCCGCCCTTGCGTGCTGCGGAAGGCCGTGGCGCGAGCACCAGACGCCCGGGCGTCTCAGCTCCTCGTCAACGGCCTCGCCGAGGACTACATCCGCACTGCCGTGAAGAGGTCGTAGTGCTTGGCTGCCAAGGCAAGTCTCTCGCAGCCACTTCGGGCGAAGCTCGTGGACGTCACTGGAGCGCAGGCTTTTATAACCGTGCGCGGAATCTTGGGGTACTGACTTCGCGCAGAGTCGTGCTGCTGGACGTGCTGACCGACGAGGTCGCCTGAATGCCGCTGCTCCGCGAGTTCGATGGCTCCTTGGGCATGGTGCTCGCCGTGGAGTGGCTTCGCGAATCGCCAAGCATGGTCTCGAGGCAGGCTAAACTCGCGCAGTGTGAACTGCACGGGTCTGAGTAATGGCGACCTTCAGGCGGCCTGCTCTCTGGCCTTTCGAGCGACTGAGGCACGGGTCAATGGCAAGAGTCGCGGGCTGAGCTTCATGCTGTCGCCTCTGCGCGAGCTCGACCCCATCTTTCGTGCCGCGATTGATCCCATCTGTATGCTGCATCGTGCGCTGTGGGACGGATGGCTTCCAACTTCGATCTTAGCGTCAGTCATGGATTGGATTTCTTGTCATGTCTCACCCTGGGCTCAAATTCGAGGGCCCGTCAGTGCAGCGTTCATGTCTTTGCTGCGCGTGGGATGGGCTGCGACGAGTACTGCCACGTGGGTCAATGCTGCGAGTGGTGTAGCCTACAAGCCGATGGACTTTTCGCCGTGGTACACCAAGCGGATGATCAGGAGGCCCGTCGTATGGTGGCAGCTTCAGAAGGCGGCCGATGAGTTGCCTCACCTTGCCAACGGCTTCGACATCATGCGACTGCGGAAATGGTTTCACCGTGGGGGGCCCACGGCACGTGAAGGATGGGCGACGGTACGCATGGTCGCTCATTGCTGGAGGTCAGTGGCTGAGTCATCGTCGGTTCCCCAACAGCCCTCAGTATGTTCGGTCTTGAAAGTGCAAGCTGTGCCCAGGAAGGAGCGGTACACTTCGGCATCGGCAACTGCAGCGTGGTCAGCAGTGGGCTTCAGCCTCATCCTCCCGCGGCGCTGGAGTTGCTGAAAGGCCAGGCGGAGCACCCCAACACAGTCGCGCTGGTGGAAAAGGGGTTCTTGATGGAGAGGCCTGGGGCCCTGTGGACGGCGCCCCAGGACGAGTTGCTGTCGTGGGTGTTCTGGATGCTCGGCAGAAGCGGAATGTCTTTCACAACGTGGAGCTGTTCACGGATGGCTCGGCCTTCGGCTTGGACATTCACTACGGCGTGGTTGGCTGTGCAGTGGTGCAAATTCCATTCAGACCAGGCCCTCGCCGTGCTCTTCGCGTCATCGGGTCGGCGTTAATGGGGTCGCATCAGTCGATCGAAGGCGCAGAGCTCTTGGCTATTCTCATCATGCTTCGACCCAGCCTGGCCCCGCCCACGGTGAGGGCTGGTGCGGGCTATGTCGTGAACGGCCTTCTCAAGAGAGGGCGGAAAGTACTTGCGATCCAGGGCACAGCTGGGACTTCCTGTGGACGCTTGTATGGAATTCGGCAGGAGACTTTGGAGGACTGGGTGGGCGCGGACTTACTTTGCTCAAAGTCGAAGGCCACGGTGCAGTTCGTGATGCTGAAGCAGGGCGGCTGACGTCGCGGGGGCGACGTGGGGGCCTCGAGGCCGACGACTCGGCGAAGCAGGTCGCTCGTCCGCGCGCCTTGGGTCTGTAGATCGGGACAGTGTCAAGCGCGCGAACCTCGTGGTAGACGGGGTGGCTGCTTGGGCCTCGGCGGCTGGTACTCCTGGTGCGGTTCACGTGGCACATGCGCGGCACGCCCGCGCACGCACGCGGCGCACCCACATGCGCGCGCGCGCGCCCGGCGCACGCGCGACACGCACGCGCACACACACACACACACACACACACACACACACACACACACACACACACACACACACACACACACACACACACACACACACACACACAACACCACACAACCACACAACCACACAACCACACAACCACACAACCACACAACCACACAACCACACAACCACACAACCACACAACC